TGTTCTTGGGATTCTTTTCCTCCTTCTGGGTTGCCTGAAGTAGCGTTGATGTGAAGGTTTGTGCCTGGTCTTATTATAACTTGTGGCATTGTGTTCAGTTGATGCTTGTTCTTTTCTCAAAGGAGACACTGGTGAGGAGAAGGTGTCTGCGGAGAGGGGAGGTGGGGGAGAACTTGGAGTAGTGGAGGAAGGGGAAGCTCCAATTGGGATGTATTTTATGATGGAAGGAGGGAGGGAGAGAGGGAGAAAAGAAATGGGCTCAAAGAAAGCAAAGGGATTGTTGTGTGACCCTCTTGCTTTCAGAAAAAAGAAAGCAATACAATAAAGGCTAATGTTTGTTCTATATTTTCCTTCACTTATTATGAGAACCAACAATGTGTGCCTCTGGAATTAAAATCAGAACTTTTATGGTTTGTTTACTGATAATGCTCAGTGGGTAAACTGCCTCTGTCTGATATACACAGAGAAGAGGTGTTGCTAAAAAGAACCTGAATCATCCAAGGTATCCATGATCTGAGCTAGAATCCTGTTTAAAAGCAAGATCATCCAGCTGCGTCTGCAAGCCGGACTTGTGAAGGGAGACACGGGCACCTCCTAAGAAACTGCAGGTTAATGTCAGATTTCAACAGAATCAGGTAATAATGCCCACCTTTTCAATGCTTTGGGTCCAGTCTGTAAAGATTTACATCTAGAAGCAGCTATTCATGGTTTCTTTCACTACAAATCTGAAGCACAATAAGCAACTTTAATAAATTGGAAAACTCCTTAAAATTGAAATACAGTAAATGCTGGATCTACTTCATTTTCAAAAGAATGGAACTCTTCTGTAAACTAGACAGAAAAAAAAACTTACAAGGAAGTACATCCATGTTCAAAGATTTGTGTTAGTTTTGAAGATATATGCCTTCGTGTGCTGATTTTGTTTTTTCAAACAGCTATAAGAAATGATTGTAAGAACTTAGAAGTTTCAAGAAAGACTAAAATTTACCTGTGCATTCTGCTTGGAAATTACATCAACTGTGTCAACCAAAGGAAACCAGTAGATAAAGTTCAAGGACTCCGAAGTTAGGAACTGAAAGCATGAGAGGATTTAAAGATGTTGGAGGCACAGTCAGCTGAGAGGTTTCCAGGGAGATTTTATCGTAGTTCATGGGTGTGACTGTGGGAATGCACTTTCTTGAGGAGGGCAAAGCCCTTCAGGGACACAGTTCACCTGTTTTAGGGGCCATAGTTCAAATCATCTCCCCACTTGCTTTCATCTGCTTTTTGTTCATGCAAAACTATGCAAGAGCTTAATCCACAGCATTCATATTTCACACCAACCCCAAACAGAGTAGCTCTGGAAGTGGCTCAGTCAATCTGCAATTCAGGATTAACTTCCTGGCTGGTTCTTATCTGTTCATACACCAGTGATTGCAACAAATTGTGTGTGGATTTAAAAGTAGAGGAAAGTATGTTTTACCATCCATATCAAAAATTAATTTGTGACGGCAGGATAAATACAAGCTACCAATGCCCAAGTTTGCAGGTTGATGATCTGGAAATATCTCATTGTGCCACTTCATTTTCCAATTAATTACTGAAATAAAAATGCAATGCAAATGTGTGCAAGTCACACTGTGTGAGGATATCAACTCTTAGTAGAAGAGTCATTACCTAAGAATGTGAACACTTAGGCACAGAATTGAACTAGATAGGAAATTTTTCAATAATGAAACCATTAAACTAGATTTATAGTTAAAATACTGCACTGTTATACTTTAAAAATCATTTATTTGGCCCTCTAACTTTACCTGAATTCAGGTAATGTTGAGTCATGTGTGATAACATCTTTATCTAAAGATCCACCTTGAAAAGCACTTGACAAAAATTAGCATCTTTTCATAAGAAGGAAGTCAATGGATTAGAGAAGAAATGAACCTGAGCAGGGTAAATACCAGCATTACAACCAGGGGCTCACACTATCCTCAGCAGCAGAAGTGTAATTTTCCAATATGATATCTACTATCTTGACTCTGTTTATCACAGGACCAAAAGTCTTGCCAAGGAATAAATACAAGACATTCTAATAGGAAAAGAAGAAGTGAAATTGCCTAGAATTGTTGATAACATTAATTTTATATAGAAATTTCTAAGGTATCTACAAAACGTTACTAAACCTGGTAATCAGATCAGGTGAAGATGAAGGATATAAACCCACTGTCCCCAAGTAAGTAACATTTCTATTAACTTCTAGCAGCTGTTCAACAAATAAATGAAGAGGGAGCATGGTCTCCAGAGTGAGTGCCAGGATAGGCTCCAAAGTTACACAGAGAAACCCTGTCTCGAAAAACCAAAAAAAGAAAAAAAAAATGAAGAGGGAAGGGAATCCCATTTATACTAGGAAAAACAATAACAAATAGCAAAAAGATCTATATAAATTTCAAAAACAAGATGGTCTGGTAGGATGGTTCTGTAGGTAGCAGCACTTACCATGCAGGCATAAGGACCTTAGTTCTAATCCTCAGCACCCACATAAAATCCAGGTATAGCCCAGCAGCTGGGCGGGGAACTGGGGTACAGAAACAGATGGTCACCAACCTAGCTCCAGATTCAATAAGAGAGACCCTGTCTCGGGAGAGTAAGGGGAGGAATACAGTATGACTCCTAATGTCCCTGCTCCAAACTCCACAGGTGTTCCAATGTGTACATGCACCACACACATATACCACACACATACACACAATTAAGGAGGTAAAGGGCCTGTATGCCAAAAACTATGAAACATTAATAAAATAAAAATAGAGGTAAGCAAAAAATAAATAAATAAAAACAGAGGTAAGCTAGAGAAATTAATACTGTGAAACCACTACAAGTTATCAAAAAAGTCAACGTAATCTTTACCAAAAAATTGCAATGACATTTTTCAAAGAATTGGTCAAAAATTCTTAAATTAAAATGAATATATAAATGACCCTGGATATACCAAACAATATTAAACAAAAATAACAAAGCTGGAGGCATTACATTCTATTTTAATATATATTATAAAGTGATTATAATAAAAATAACATAGTATAATATAAAAAATAACTTTTTAAAACACACACTGAACAATGGAACAAGATAGAAAACTCCCAAGAACAGACACACGTATTTGATCAACTAATTTTTTTTCAGAGCTGAGGACCAAACTCAGGACCTCATACTTGCTACACAAACACTCTACCACTGAATTGGAAGAGACAGAAGGAGTAGGCACAGCAGGATGACTACAGGCACTAACAAAGTATTATGTATCTCAAAATAACTAAGAAGGCAAGCTTCAAATGTCCCTATGTAAACATGACTGGTAAACTGGGTAACAGAGATGCTAATTAGGTTGATTTAACCATGCCACATTGTGTATACAGTATCAACACACCACATTTTAGCCAACAAATATATACAATAATATTTATTATTGTCAGTGAAAGTAATAGTCATGTTTTAAGCATAATAAGATTAAAAAATAAATAGTAGTTCTTTATTTAAAGAACCATTTTATAAGTGAATCACTTGTCCCTCAGTATTGTTTTAAGGAAAGTTTCCTTAAAATAGTATATAGACTTACTTCTCAAGCTCATTAAAAAGTAATCAAGAGATGGAAGTCATTAAGTTTACCTTCCCATTAACCCATTGTGGCCCCTGAAGACAAGTATCACAACAGCAGCAACCAGTGATTTGGGGCTCTTATGGAGGGCTGTCGGGACAAATTTTACAGCCATCAGGCACCACAATGGGGACTGGCTTTTCCCAGCCAACTTTTAATGTAAACAACAAAGAAACCTGCAGCTTTGTACTTCCCCCGGCACCTCTCCCTTTTCTTTCAGATGAACACTGGACATACTGGAAGGCAAGCTTCCAGAGTCAGTTTCAGTGCTAGAGAGGGATTAGGATGAAATGGAATCCAACAGGTAAATCCCTAGGTACAATAGTGAAAATGTACCCCTTTGTGTCACTGCTAAAACTGGCTGCCGCCTCCACCTCTGCCTGGAGCTGGCTGCCCACAGACTCTAGAGCAGTTTTCAAATTAAATGATAAATCTCAGATATCTTGAACAGAAAACTGACAGTTGATAAAAACCAATCATGTCCACTCCAACCCAACCATGGATAACAACAAAAGAACTGTGGGGGGGTGGCTTTTTTATTTTCTTTAAGAAATGATTTCTTTTTCAAGTTCAAAGTGATTTCAGAACCAAGATGCAGAAAATTAAGCTTCTTCCAAAAGGTTTAAAAGCTCTAGTATAATGTTGCCTCAGCAAATACAGTGGATGTTCCGCTTTCCAGCCTCCAGACAGTGCACATTTTAAACAGGCACATTTAAATGACCCAGAAAGATGTCTCCTGCAGTGCAAATGCATCCTGTTCAGAGGTGCTTGAGACTTTGGTGAAGGGGATGATAGCTTCTGAGTAGGGAAGGAATCATTTGCTGCATTTTAAATGCAAATAAAGGTCACAGATTGATGGTACCACCTCCAACCCGATGGGAAAATTTAGAAAAATAATTTTTTTCAGGATAAAGGTATATGCACCAGTGCTTAAGCAAAACCCATGGAGTCTGTTTAGAGGCATGAAATTTCCTTGTTGTTTTTAAATACTCGTTTCTTCCTATCATAAGCTATTCACTGGATTTCAATATCATCTGGAAGCCATGCCATAAGTGATCCCTGGTAGGAAACAGCAAATGCCTAGAAAAACATTCAAAGACAGAGTCCATGAATCTATTTCTATCTAACACAGAACAGATTTCACCCTGGCTACTCAGCAGTCCAAGATTTACAGTTCACCTCTCCTCCCTAACCCTCATGTCTAAGCTCCTTCAGGCTGGATAAGAAAAAATAAATAAGGGGAGAGTGGTGAAGAAACTCATGATCATTATCCCAGGAAATGTCAGGTCTCCTACCTATCCACCCTTACCCAGTACTTCCTAATACTGCTGGAGAGCATCTCTGAATTCATAGGGGCCTACTGAGTTCCCTAGCAAAGCAGTTCCCCAGCACATACTGACCCACCGTTCATGCCACTGTAGACATTCCGGTGATGGGGTGCTGAGTCCTCTTGAGCCGGCCGTCGAAGGGTGCCCTCCCTGCTGCCCCCGCTGCTGCCTCCACCACCGCCTCCATGTTTGTGATCAGGGCTGCCCCCATAATGTTGTTTGAGATGCTCTGGGCTTGTTCCCCTGGTTCTGGGGAGATGCTCGAGGCTCCCACCAAGGGCGTGCTTCTGGAGATGCTCAGGGCTCCCTCCACTGTGCCTGGCATGTTCTGGGCTGCCCCCTGGTCTGTGCTTCTGGAAATGTTCAGGGCTCCCACTCAATACATGTTTGGGCAGCATTTCCGGGCTGCTCCCAGGATGTGGGTGCCTCTGCTGCTCTGGGCTGCCTTTGCATAAGGGCTTGTGGTGCTCAGGACTAGGTCCTTTCAGTGCTTTGGGGTGATCTGGGGTTCCAGAAACCCTGGGTTTGTGTAGATGTTCAGGGCTGGTGCTCCTGTGTTTGGTATGCTCTGGGCTGCCCTCGCTCCGGGGCTTCTGTAGATGCTCAGGACTGCCCCCACTGGCATGGTGTTTGTGGTGGTCAGGACTGTCGGTGCTGCCGGTGCTGGAGGTGCTGCTGCCATCACCCACATCCCGCACATAGGGAGCAGCAGAGGCCACCAGTTGGCACAGGCTGGCCTGGCTGTCAATGGAGCAGCGGCTGCCGGCGCATCCCGCGCCCTTCTCCTCATCCAGCAGCACACAGAGCTCCTTAAGCTCCATGTTCTCCTTCACCACCTCCTCCTGTTTTACCTCCAGCTCCTTCAGCTTCTGCAGGTATAAGGCCACTTCCTTGTGCATCACTCCGGCTGTGTAGCGACCCAATCTCTGCCACTCCCGGGACACCCTTTTGCCTTTCTGCCGGTCATCGTCCAGGAAACAGCACAGGTCCCTCAGTTCCTGGTTGTCCTCCTGGAGTTTCTGGTTAATATCCTGAAAAGAGAGATGGGACTTATTTGGAGGCAGACAGGAGAGGTGGCATCGAGACTAGACCTTCCCTAGGAAAAGTCCCAGAACTGGGGAGTCTTTGCATGGGTTCTCAACCTGTGTGGGTCACCACCCCTTTGGCAAACTTCTATCTCTAAAAATACTTACATTATGATTCATAACAGTGGCAAGGTTACAGTTATAAAATAGCAATAAAAATAATTTTATGGTTGGGGGTCACCACAATATGAGATGATCCTTTAAGGGTCACAACATTAGGAAGGTTGAAAACCACTGATTGTCAGGTGAGAGACCACAGAAAGGTGTGGATTGTGTTCCTGGGGGGATTCTCTAACAGTTATATTATTCAGTTTTCACTCCAGTGTTTAGGGAACAATAATTATGACCCTTTTACAGAAGAACCTGGGCCTCAAGGAGTTTCATTCGGCCATCAATTCAAGAAGAGTCAGTTGAAATCAACAGGAATCAGTGTACACTCCAGAAACAAAGATGGTGACATGGTGTCCTACACAGGTAATCCAGCAACCTGGGACTCTGCAGGTAAGTGTCGCCATAGGACATCAAGGCGAATCTAGGCAATACAGTGAGTCTCATGCCAGTGAGAGAAAAAAAGAGAGAAGAAAAGAGGGGAAGGGGAAAGGAAAGGGGAAGGGGAAGGGGAAAGGAAAGGGGAAAGAGAAGGGAAGGGAAGGGAAGGGAAGGGAAGAAGAAAGTTGCTTGTGTCTTGTGACTGTGGAAAGGCTCTGAGGCAGCATTTTTTTATTTTAATTAGAAAGAAGATTATTTTACATGTCAATCTCAGGTCCCTCTCCCACCCCTCCTCCCATGCCACCCCCCAACTAACACCCTACCTATCCCATACCCTTTCTGCTCCCCAGGGACGGTGAAGCCTTCCATAGGGGGTCTTCAGAGTCCGTCATATCCTTTGGGATAAGGCCTAGGCCCACCCCCTTGTGCTCAGGGAGTATTCCTCTACGTGGAACGAGCTCTCAAAGTCCATTCTTATGCTAGGGATAAGTACTGATCTACTACAAGGGGCCCCATAGATTTCTGAGGTCTCCTCACTGACATGCACATTCAGGTGATCTGGATCAGTCCCATGCTGGTTTCCCAGCTATCAGTCTGAGGACCAAAAGCTCTGCCTTGTTCAGGTCAGCTGTTTCTGTGGGTTTCACCAGCCTGGTATGGACCCCTTTGCAAGGCAGCATTTCTTTTAAAAAGCTGGTGTGAAGTTCTCAGACTCTAGAAGGATTGAGCTGTACCATTCCTCCAACCCCCTCGGGGAAATAAATCACAGTGCCCCCTAATGGCATTCCAGTGCATTGCATCCACCCTTACTGGCCATACCCACTGGTAATTCACCCAAGCAACTCAAGCTTAACATAAAGCAGAACTGCTGTAATTCTAATACTCCTCCCCAAATTGCACCTCTCAGAAAATGCCACTTCCACCTCTTACCCTTTATAAGAACACAGGGTCATTCCCATGTCTCCCCCTTCATCATCACTTCTGAGGCAAAAAAAAATCCTTGGAATTTGAACCTCCAAAACTTAAAACTTCTTATTCTCGCCATGAATTACTTCAGTAGCTTCCCATTGCTCTTAGGGTACAGGGTCCCTCAAGTCTCTCAGAGCTTCAAATGTTCTGTCCACTTCTCCAGCATGAATAGTGATTCATTCGTTCATTCACAAAGAGTTAGTAGCCACAGATTATGTGCTAGGTACTAGTGCAAATGCTAGGAATGTGTTCATGAGCATTCAAGAGCCCTATAACCTAAGAGCCTAAAGCTTTCACCCTGGTAAAAGGGATATCAAAAATCAAGCCTGGATGGTAGTAATATGTATGAAAAATGCTAGGAGGGAAAGACCCTTCCCCTGCCTTCATCTGTGATCCTCTGTCTTCCCTCACTAACCCCAATACAAGCACTCCTTGCCAGACTGGTCTCCAAAAAACACTTTCAGCATGTTGAGCTCCACCTGAAACACATCAGGAACCTCAATTGCCAAGAGAAAATTAATAAATCCATTTCTACCCAATTATTTTTATGCATTCCAACTAGAAGGTTTCTCCTTCTTTGCAATATGAACTTACACAAAACAAGAGATTCCTCTGAGAAGTATCCCCTAGCACCATAACATCACCCACAATGAGACAATGTTCCTATCCAGCGCTTAAAACCTTTGGCATACTTGAGCACTCAGTAGACATCACCTTCATCTCCTTTCTCATGTACAGTCCTGACAACGTGAAAAGCAAATGTCTGACATCTCTGTCTATGCAGCACACTTATCATGCTATGTTGCATGGACACATGGACATATATAGTGGGCACAATATATATTTATGGACATCTTAATTCCTTAGAGCTCTGGGCCAATGGCCCAAACAAGCTACAGCTAGCTGTAGCTATCAAGAAAGGATTCGACAGTGTTTTCAGGGGCCCTACTACATTGGGATATGCAGTAGGATGAGGAGGGTAAGTTATCACTTGATACTGATACTTCACAGGGAATCAAAACCTTTGGATACTCAGAGAAAATATCCCCCAAAAAAGCAATCTTGATAAGCTTCAAAAGTTAGTCAACAATTAGCACCATCGAGGCATTTGAGATGAAGCTCAAGTTTTGTTGTTCTTCATCTGAAAGAATTTCCACCTGAAAACACTGGGGTGTGTCTATGCTGCAGCTTTTCTTGACCAATCTAAAACTATAATACATATGACTGCTGTTATCATAGGTTTTTCCTTAAGAAGTGAAACGCAACGTTCCAACATTCCAGAGTAGGTGGTCCAGCAGCATGAGCCCATTCACACCTCCTATTCCAATTCTTGAGAATATTACTTGTCTTTAGTGTTGATCTATTGTCTTTGCCTTTGATGGACAGATAAGCAACAAACTTGAACCAATAACCTTGTGAGCTAGCTTCTTCAAATCTGGCACATTAAAATATAGACTTTCTTTAAAAAAAAAAATACTAGACGTTCTTTTAACATTGCCATAGGCCACAAGATACTGCTCTAAGTACCTAAAGTAGCCTTTTAAAAGTTTAAATCACTCAATATTTCAACCCACTAAAAGCTGTATCTCTCGTACAAGAAGAATTGTTTTCATGTGGTTCTTTGTGTTCTCTGCAGACATGCAGGGTTAAGTGATTTGAATGAGGATGACCCCCACCCCCACCCAGGCTCAGCTATCTGAACAAATCTCCAGTCAGTGTTACTATCTGGGAGATGTTTAGGAGGTATGACTTTGCTGAGGAAGTATGGGTGCACCGAGAGTCAAAAGGCCTCTCTCTGCTACCTGTTATCTCTATTATTATCTGCTTTGTATTAACTGTTGAGGATATGAGTTCTCAGCTTCCTGCTCCCACTCCTGTGCCATTTGCTGTCGTGATGGCCAATTACCTTCCTGGAACCATAAGCCCGAATAAACTCTTTCTTCTATAAGCTGCCTTGGCCACGGTGTTTCATCACAGCAACAAAGCAAGTGGCAAAATTAATATTATAAGGGCAACAAAGCTGTTTCTACTCAATTCCTCCAGAGCTCACTGGACCAGGCTCAGCAGGACAAGCAGATGGTTCTTAGTCTCTCACAGCATCAGCACTCTAAGCAATCCCTTTTACCATGTCTTCTGGGGCCACACACTAGACACAGAGCATACCCACTGAGCCTTTTCTGAACATACACTCTGCATGACCTTGAGAAAGCATTCTCAACCCACTGCCCTCTCAGTACATGTGTAATGTTTAACCCTCATAAAACCTCATATAGTATTAAGATCTCCATTGAACAGATCAGAAGACTGAGGCTGAGAAGCCAACAGTTTCCCTCATCTGACCAAGCTGAACAATGGCATTTCCACCTAGTCAATTCAAAATATTTAGATATGATTTTTAAAGTCAAGTCACAGGTACTGGCATCACAATTATCCAACATTTACAGTTTTGAAGAGTGCCAGGCCCTCAGAGGACCCCAAAATGGAATCACTTTCTTCCCATTAAGATAAAAAAGAAAGAAAAGAAAATACACCTATCATTCATTCAATCAAGCACATCCATGGCTCACTGTGGAATCCAAGGAAACTCCCATCCCAACTGATGAACAGAAGGGAGAACACTGACCCAGAAGTAGAGCTTTCAAACCACAGTGCACTCACAGTGGACAAAAAGCCTGGGGTCTACTATGTTTACCACAAGAAGGGAGCCGACTCTTCAACAGAAAGTGACCTGTAAGGAGTGAGTGGTTTCCTGAGTGAACTGTGCTGTTAACATGGGCATGGCTATGTCAAGGACACTAATACCAAAGTCCCCTGAGATTGGCAAAGCCTTCCCTGGGTGAGGCTTAAAAGGATGGCCAAGCTTTCCTTGGGTTCAAATACAAATGTTGACAGTGTGTGCAGAACACCTGCTTTAGCTTTCTCCCTTCACCAGGTGTTCACAGCCTGCTCCCATACAGATACCACTCCTGCAGAGATTAGACAACCCTTCCTCCTGTTCAGCTACATATAATAACCTCACCTGTTTCTGCCTCCTTGTTCAACTGTATATAATAAACACACTGAGCTTGAAGGGTGCTGTGGCTCCATGCCTCCATCAGAGCAAGGACATCCCACTGTGCCATATCCCAGCTTTTCTATGTGTATCTACGTGTTGTCATTTCTTCATTCCCTTGCTGCCCCTGTTCAGGGTTCTAGAATCCAAGGCATGAAAGAACATCATACTGACCAACCTCCATCGCTTCTGTACTGGATAAGGAGGTAGCCTACAAAACCTTGTACTTTTGGGTCATGAATCCAGACCTGGAAGTTTTCTAGTTGGAACAAAATTACTTTAACTGAGCCAATAGCTGTTTCTCTAAATGAGGCCACTGAAGGGATGACCAAATAGTGTGCTCTAATACCACTCCTGGCTCTCTCAGAGACCTGCACATGGTGGACACAACTTAAAAGAACTCCCAAGGATTTCTTGAGTTGTTAACATAGCTCTT